CTGCGTCGCCCACACCTGCCAGCGGCCAGGCAGCTGCCACGGAGCCGGCCCAAACGTGGGACAGTGGCAGCAGCTCCCCGGAGGCGCCGGGCAGTGGGGACGAGGACACTGCTGAGGCCACTTCCGGCGTTTTCACAGATTTGCCCGGCGACGGCCCGCGGGCCGAGAGGCGGGACATGATGCCGGCGTCCCGCTGCCTGCCGAAGCAGGTGGGCACCCCCGACTCCCTGGACTCGCTGGACATCCCGTCCTCGGCCAGCGACGGGGGCTGCGAGGTCTTCAGCCCGTCGGCCGCCGGCCCCTCCGGAGGGCAGCCCCGGGCCCTGGACAGCGGCTATGACACCGAGAACTACGAGTCCCCTGAGTTTGTGCTCAAGGAGGCGCACGAGCCGTGTGAGCCTGAGGTTTTCGGGGGACCGGCCTCGGAGAGCGAGAGCCCTGGGGCGGAGACTCAGCTCCCGGCCTCCCTCGGCGGCCTCAGCGAGAAAAACCCCTACCGAGACTCCGCCTACTTCTCAGACCTGGACACGGAGCCCGAGCCCCTGCTGGGCCCCGAGAAGAGGAGCGGGGCCGTTGGGCCAGAGCCAGACCTGGAGAGCCCGCAGGGCCCTGGGGGGCAGCCGCCTTCTGAGTCTGAGGCACCTGGGGCGGCGCAGAGCCCAGACCCCAGGGAGGGGTCGCCATCGTCATTGCCTGAGGACTCTCGCCCCGGACCGAGCACTTGCCCCACAGGGCCCAGCAGGGAGCCTCCCTGGGCCGAAAGCCCAGCTCAGGGGTCGCCGACGCCCAGTCCCGGGTGCTCCAAAGTTTTCCTGCTGACTCCCGTCCCGCAGAGCTCAGACAGCCACGGCCCCGAGCCCCAGGAGGCCCAGGGACCGCCGTCAGCCCTGCAGGAACGGATGGGGGCCCCGGGCGTCCCGAAAGCCCCGCTCTGCCTGGCCCTGCCGGGGCTCCCCGCGGCCCCGGAGGGCCGGCCGGAGGAGGAGGAGGAGGACAGCGAGGACAGCGACGAGTCGGACGAGGAGCTCCGCTGCTACAGCGTCCAGGAGCCCGGCGAGGAGAGCGAGGAGGAGGCCCCGCCCGTGCCTGTGGTGGTGGCCGAGAGCCAGAGCGCGCGCCACCTGCGCAGCCTGCTCAAAATGCCCAGCCTGCTGTCCGAGGCCTTCTGCGAGGACCTGGAGCGCAAGAAGAAAGCCGTGTCCTTCTTCGACGACGTCACCGTCTACCTCTTTGACCAGGTGGGCGGCGGCCCCAGGCTGTGCGCGCAGAGGGGGGGCCCCCCCCACCCGGGCGAGACGGAAAGCGGTGGGAGTGGCCAGGGCTGGCGGCCGGACTCACAGGCTGCTCTGACCTCGTAGGAAAGTCCTACCCGGGAGCTTGGGGAGCCCTTCCCCGGAGCCCAGAAGTCGCCCCCTGCGTTCCTCGAGGGCAGTCCCGGCTCCCCCGGCGCCCCCTGCCGGCCTCGACGGGCCGAAAGCTCACCCGACGGCTTCACGTTCCAAGAGGGTGAGCTGGAGGCGGGGCCTTCCGGGGGCGGGGGGCGGGGGCGAGGTGTCTTGGGCGGGGCCTCTAGGGCGGGACCAGGGCTATGCATCTCAGAGTAGGCGGGGCGATGTTTCGGGGCGGGGCCTCTAGGGCGGGACCAGGGCTCTGCGTCTCAGAGTAGGCGGGGCGATGTTTCGGGGCGGGGCCTCTAGGGCGGGACCAGGGCTATGCATCTCAGAGTAGGCGGGGCGATGTTTCGGGGCGGGGCCTCTAGGGCGGGACCAGGGCTCTGCGTCTCAGAGTAGGCGGGGCGATGTTTCGGGGCGGGGCCTCTAGGGCGTGGCCAGGCCCCTAGTCTTCGCGGAGTGGGCGGGGTGGGGCGGGGCGGTGGGGCGACTGGGCGACACGAGGAACTGGGACTTCCGGGGCCGGGCCGGCGGCGCCTAGGGAGGCGAGGGATGCCTGCCGTCTGCGGAATTCCGTGACCTCCGGCCGGTTTGCAGGCGCAAGGTTCCAGTGGGACCACGGCGTACCGCAGGCGCCGGCCCGGGAGGCCGCGCTGGCCGCGCCCGCCGCGCCCTCCAAGCCGGCCGAGACCGCCCCTTTCTCGCGTTTCACCGTCTCGCCCGCGCCCGCGTCTCGCTTCTCCATCACGCACGTCTCGGACCCGGACGCCGGACGCGTGGGTGGTGAGCTGCGGTGGGGCTGGCGGGAGGGCTCGGCGAAGCGGGGCAGTGCAGCGGCAGGTGGGGACTCGTTTCCTCCGTGCAAGCTCCGTGGTCGGCCGGGGCGCGGAGGCTTCGCGCGCAGGCCAGCCCGTCCGGGCGCTTCGGGAAGCCCCGCCTCCCCGCCTGTCGCGCCGAGTCTGGACGCTGCCTGGTTTTCAGGCCTCGCGTCTCCTCGCGTTTTCGGAGGCACGGGCTGGACGCTGCGCGCCTCCACCTGGCCTCAGGCCCCCGAAACCTGCGGCAGCCTCTGCCACCAGGACCTCCCCAGCCCCTGCTGGTCTGCCTCAACCGCCGGCCCCACCCTCCCTTGCTGCCTCCGGACTCCGCGCGGCTCAGACCCGCTGGTTCTTGCCCGGCGGGCCGCAAGGCGGGGGCCTCAGCTCGCCCTCCCTCCGCGGTGCACTTCTCTGCCGGCCTCAGACCGGCGGGCTCCTCCCGCCAGGTGGTCCCCTAGCCACCGCCGAGTTCTTGCAAGTTCTGCTTGGCTTGGCTGAAAGCCCACCTCCACTCAAACGCCTCCTGGTCACCTTGTTCCTGGGGCAGACCCACCCCCGTCCCCACTGTCCTTGCAGAGTTGTCCCGAACGGACCCTGAACCAATGAGGTCCCCAGAAGGCGAGTGCGTGATGCTTGTCAGCCCAGGCCTCAGTTTTCCCACCTGTAAAAGGGGGGCTGGGAGGGCACGTGAGCTCTGTTGGGCTCCCACTGAGTCAGACAGGCGGGCTGTGGGGGGCGCCTGAAGGCGGTGGCCCTAGGTCAGGGGTGGAGACCAGGTGGGAGTCCCGGGGAGGGGCTCCTCCCGTCCCCAGCGCGTTCCTGAACTCTTGGCCCGTCCTGTTTGCCAGGCCCTGCAGGAGGCACTGGGGGCGTCTGTAAAGAAGCTTGAGGCCCACGTGACCTCCCCTGGAGGCCCTGCTCGTCCTGCTCCCGCAGCAGCAGCGAGGATGGTGACCGGCGTCGCGGGGCTGCAGTCGCCGCGGTTGGTGGCAGCTTCCAGCACCTGGGCGCCCCACACAGCACAGTGGACGGCAGAGCGCTGTGCCGCCAGCTGGTCTGCCCCGGCGGCAGGATTCCTCCCGGACACGGGGTACACTGCTGCTTCCTTAGGGAAGCCCCACAGCCCCCGCCCGGCAGCACCCTCCTTGCAGTGTCCCCTGTGCCCTGGCCCCACACTGCTGCTTGGCCTCTGAGGCCTGGGGGCCCTCGCAGGCCCCGCCCTCTGTTCCGGGTGGTGCACTGCAGGGCGCTGTGCCCCTGCCCTGGGTGAGACACCAGGCGCAGGCCTGTGGGGGCAGCCTCTCCCCGTGTCCTTGGCCCCTCCCCCCTGGTTCTGGGTGGTCAGTGCAAGGACAGGCCCTGGGGCGCAGGGGCCTCGCCACCCTTACCTCAAAGTCTGTGGCTGTGTTTCCCCTCTCCTGACTCCACCAGACCCCAGCCCGCCCTCCCCACACGGTCTGGGACGGCTCCTGCCTGGGGCCCTCTGCTGGCACCGAGGGGGCAACTTGAAAGACGGAGGGGGCTTCCAGGCCCCACCTCTGCCATCTCAGCCTCATTCTAGAGGCGCCCCCTGCTGTCAGGTGTGGGTAGCGTCCCTCTGCAGGGCACTGCCCAGCCCAGCTGCTGAGAGTGGGGGCCTCCTGCACCCCAGCGTCAGGGGTCCCAGCCCACAGGGATGGGGATGGGCAGGAGGTGGAGCTGGGAGGGGTGGGGCAGGGCAGCACAGGGAATATTTTTGTAACCACTATTGTCCCGAGCCGGGCTTATGATTTTAAGTTATTGTTGCCAAAGAGATGTAAGTTTGTTGTTGCTTTGGGAGTGTGGGCGGGGCGCTCTGGGTTTGTGTTTCTGTTAGTTTGAGGCTTAGGACGCTGGTGCAATGATTTTCTTGTTCCTTGTTTGTTTTCTAAGAGAAATCAAGCTAAGAACAAACAGCCTTCAGGCTGAGTGTTTTCTTTGCACGCTCAGCTGTGCTGGGGGTGTGTGGCTGCGGCAGGAGCGAGGGCGCCCCCCCCCACTGCCCTTGGTGAAGGGAGACTGCCCTGGGCCCCTGCCCCCTTGCTGTGCCCAGGTGGGCTCTGCCCAGAGCAGAGTGGGGGACTGGCCTCGGGAAGGATGAGGAGGGGCCGCAGACACCCCCAGGAACCCTGCCCCCTGCCCAGAGCCTGTCCCTCAGCACAAGGGGGCGGGTGGTGGTGGTGGTGGTGGTGGTGGGTGGGCTGGGACGCAGGAGCGGTTTGAGGAGTTGGAGCTTCTGGGCACCCCCAGCCCAAGCAGCCACCTTATGCCCCCCCCTGCCCCCACCCAGCACACTTCCAGCTTCTGGGAGGTGAGGGGCGGTATGTGCACTGACCCACCCTCTGCTCCCTGTCCTGGGCGTGGGCCAGCTGCTCAGAGGGTCCGGGAGGAGCCGCTCCGCCTGGGACTTGTCCCCAGGGCTGGTCCCCATGGCTGAACCCCAGCCACAGATGTGTGGTGGCATAGGCCCAATAATAAGGTCTCCGAAGTGTGGTATCGCTGCTGAAATGTGGAAGCCGCTAGGGCAGGGAGGCGGTGGCCCACCCAGGAATGCCGGGCCAGGAACCAGCCCCCACGGCGGCACACAGCTCGGGGGCCCAGCCCGGGGCACCTGCCACCTGCCCTGGGGACAGAGAGCAGCGCTGGGGCCCCCGCAGCAGTCGTGGGTGGGAACGGGGCTCGGGCGGGGAGTTTAGGATGGAGAGGCTCCCCCGACAGTCACCCCCAGGGCTGCCCCCACCCGCCGACAGATCACAGCAGGGGGCGGGGGGGGGGCAGTCCGTTTATTGAGCAGACACCAAGGGGCTACGGGCAGCGTGGGGGCGGGGGCCAGACTCCCCTTCAGGCCACATGCTGACGAAGGTCCTTCCCTCACCTGGCGGGCTCCGCTGCCCACGGCCCAGCCAGCAGGCCCCTGCCGCGGTCAGCCCCTGCAGCGCTCTGTGGCCACGGCCCAGGTGCCCTGGGCTCGAGGGAGCAGCCGGGGCCCAGCCCAGGCTGGACTGCAGCGGGTGTGGCGCGGGCAGGCGGAGGGGTGGGCGGAGCTCTGAAGGGCGACCACGTGGGCAATAACGAGAGTGCTTCCAGGTGGGGTGGGGGAGGGGGCCGGTGCAGGGGCACAGGTGTGGCCGTCAGCTGAGGAGGGGGGCAGACCTGTCCCTGGTCACCGTCGGCTTCAGCTGGACGCTGGCGAAGGGGTTCCTGAGGAGAGGAGGAGAAGGAGAAGGGTGTGAGTGCGGCGGCCCCTGGGCTGCCCTGGGGGCCACGGAGGCGGCCGGGAGAGCCAGGGAGGAGAGGGTGCCGTCCCCGCCCTGCCCTGTCCGCACCAGCCCCGGGCCCCAGACCGGCCCCTCCTCCGCCCCCCGCGGGCCCCCATCAAGTCTGGGGAGCCTCCTGCAGGGCTCGGTGGCTGCCCACCTGCGAACACAGACTCAGCCCGGCCGCCCGGCCCGCGCGTCCTGGGTCCCAGGGGGGCCCGGGCCCGCCCCCCGCCGACACGGCAGACACGAGGCGCGGGCCCACGGGCAGCCACGGGGCCCACGGGTGACGCCCACAGCTCCTGCGGAGGGGCGTCGGCCTCCCGTCGCCCCGGGGAGCCACACCCGCCCCCGCATGCCTGGGGCTGCAGCGGACGGACAGATGGACGGGCCAGACGACAGGCTGAGATGGAACGAGAGGGGGAGCACGAGGGGCCGGCGCCCGGCCTGGTCCCGGGGGGCTCAGGGCGGCCTCGGGGGCACAGCACAGATGGCGCGGCGACAACACAGGGCTCAGCACGGACGGGACCACACTCCGGGCAAAGCGGGCGGCACCGCGGCCGTTACCTGGGGCGGGGCTGCTCCTGGCACGGCGGGCGGCGTCCACGGGAGCTGGCGGGCCGCGGGCAGGGGATGGGGGGGTGGGACTTAGCGTTTTCTACGGAACAGACGGAGCTTTGGACGGACACTTTACAGGGGCGAGCTGCTGCGAGCAGGCTGGCCACGACGGCTTCTGCGCCTGAAGGTGACATCTGAGTCGTTTGTCAGGTCTTCTGATTCGGGGCGTCACCGCCCCAGAGGAAGGGCCCCCTTCCAGGCCCGCGGGGGACCGCAGGCTGCTGGCCTGAGCCTCTCTTCAGCTCTGGTCTCCGCGGACGTGGGTCGGGGTCGTGGGTGGGACCCGGGGAGGCCCCCGAGGCCAGGTCTGCCGGCACCAGTGGGACGCAGGGCACAGGGTGGCCCGTGCCCTGGCTGCCCCCGCCACTGGCCTGGGTTCCAAGGGGGGCTCCGTGCCCCTGGCCGCCCCGCCCTGGGTGAATGCCGGCGGTCTCGGGGGGCCGGTTCGTCCACCGACAGCCGGGGACCCAGCAGAGGAAGGAGCTCCGGCAACCGCGGCCGGGGACTGAGCGGTGCAGACCGTGGGTGTGGGCAGCGCCCTCCCGCTGACCCCGGGGCTCGCACCGGAGCGGGCCGGTGGCGAACACCCCTCCACAGGGGCCGCCTGGGGCCAGAAGGGCCCCCCACCCACAGGGTGTGTGGCCTCTGCCCCGACTTCCTCATCTGCCCCCGATCCGGCGTGGCGGCCACCTGCCCACCCACCGGCCCTCCCTCCAGGCCCCTCGCAGCCCGGAGACCCCGGCGAGCCGGCGCTCCGAGCACACAGCGCCAGCGGAAGGGCACACAGTCCGTCCCGACACCCGCCCCCTCCGACACGTCCCTCCCATGGAAGAGCCCGCTCACGAGCCGGCCCCGCGGGGTGCCCCTGGGACCCCAGGCAGGGGCCGGGGTCAGCACTCCGACGGCAGGGCGGGACAAGGTTGGGACCCTAGGCCCCGCCCCCCTGCAGACCCTCCGCCTGCCGCACACCGGTCTCGGCCAGGGCCGGCGCCAGGCCAGGCTTCCCCCTAGCAGCTGGGGTGCGGGGGGGGGGCCCTCACGGGGCTCCGAGGGCACAGCTGTCCCCTTTCCGAGCGCCCCTGAGCTGGGACACAGGCGTGACCAGCGGAGGCTCCTACACCACGAACGGACTCCTGCTCCAGACACAGCAGGCCCGAGGCCCCGCAGGGCCGAGGGGTGGGGCGGCCCACAGGGCCCCCGAGCCACAGGGGGTCCCGCCCCACTGCCGCTCCGACCACCGCCGAGGGGCAGCTTTCAGCCCCACGCGTGAGACGCGCCTGGCTGCGGGGGTCGGGGTCGCGGGGCTGTCCCTGAGCCCACCGTGCGAACCCGAGCGGCACTTCCGGAACACCCGCGCCCTGACCGACAGCAGCCCGCGCCCTCGGGGGCGTCGGAGCCAGGAGGCCCCAGCCCGGCCGTCTCCACCCCGGCCTGCACTTCCTCCCCGGCCTCCTCACCCTGCAGCCGCCGGCCCCTCTGGAGCTGCGTCTTCTGGGCGCTCTCCCTCGCTGCCCGCTCGCGCAGAGCTGCGCGGGCCACGCAAGCAACCGGGGCCAGCTTCTGGGACCCCACCCCCAGCTGCGTCATCGGGCCGGGCCCGCGCCGTGCGCGCCTGGGGCTGAGCTCAACGCCCGCCCACTTCGCCGGTGCCTGCCTGCCTCGCCCCGGGTGTGCCCGACACCAGGGGCTGCTGCCCCTGAGCCTTCAGCCTTTCCGGGGCCTCCAGAGGCAAGGACGCCGCGGCCCCACTGGCCTGGAAGGACCACGGGCAGCGAGGCCGGGGGCAGGCCACCGCTGGGCTGGCGGCCACTGGGCCACAGTAAAAGCCTTTCTCCCCAGAACTTTCCGGAACTCCTACCACCCCCCGTCACCCACACAAAGGCGGTGACAGGGCAGCCACAGCACAGGGCTGCTGGGTGGTCTGGCCCCTGTAGGGAGGGAGAGGGTGACACCCGGTGGGGACAGACGAGCAGCAGGGGCCCCCGGGATAGGAGACACAGGGACCCAGCAGGGTGGGCTCCCACGTCCCTGCTGGCTGTCCGAGCTCGCCTTCTGCAGACAGGGCAGGACGGTCACCAGGAGGGGCCGGAGACAGTGGGCAGGCACGGCGGCCGAGGGCCAGTGTGGGGAGCTGGGCGTAGCCTCCTGGAGCAGGTCGGGGCGGGAGCACCGCGGCCGCCTCCGTCCCCAACCCCCAAGGGGGGCCCACAGGCTCCTGCTCCCCGCCTGTCACGCCCCCTGACCCCCACCCCCGGAGACTGCAGCACCCCCACCCCCCAGGGCAGGCTCGGACCCACACCCACGCCCCCGGGGCCACTCAGCCGAAGAGGCCCCAGGTGTGATCGGCGAGCCCGCCTTGATCGTGGCGGAAGCACCCGGCAGAGGCAGGCGAGGAGCCCGGGTAGAGTGCAGGCCAGACCCTCGCCCAGCAGCGGAGGCGGTGGCGGCGGTGCGGCCCAGACAGGAAGCCCCAGAGCCCGAGGAGCGACCCAGGGGAAGCGCAGGCCCGGAGCCCTAAGCAGAGCAGGGGGCCGAGCCCCGGCCCCGCCCCGACGCCCGGTGGAGGCCCGAGGGCCGGTCCGCAGCCCCTGCGCACGCGCGCCAACGACCGACCAGCACCGGAACCCCCGCACTTACTAACTCGCGACGGCGGCTCAGAGCCTGGCCACTTCCACGTCGGGGCTGCAAGGGAGGAACAGGGCTGTGGTTTCGCGGCGGCTGCGGCCCGAAGGCCGGGGGAGGGGGGCTGCCCAGGGGTCGACGCGCACGGCAGGGGGCCCAGGCGACCCTCGGGGGCAGCGGCGTGGGGCCCCTGTGGGCGCTGGAAGGAGGCGCTACACCCGGCTCGATGCAATAAATAAAACTTTTATTCAAACCACTGCAGTACAGGGCACAGTTCGGATTTTAAAAAAAGAAACGGGAAAAGTATCTCCAGCGCTTCACATCTCCGCACGAGCTCCGTGTCTTGTGCCTGCGTCCGTCCATCTGTCCGTGTGTCCGACGCGCGTGGCACCCGGGGTTCGGGGCCTGCCCGCAGGAGACCCCCCCACTCGGCTCTTCCGCGCGGATCCGGGTTCTGGCTTTGCGAGTTCCTCAGACACAGGAGATCTGTCCCGTCCCGAGTGGCTTCCGCCACGCGCCCCGCCGGCCACGCCCTGGTCCGAGGGGGGCTTTGCAAAACCGCGGCGTCGGAGCAGCATCCACCGTGTCCCGAGGGAGGGGGGGCCTGGGGGCTGCCCCCCGCTGCCCGCATTCAGGGAGTGAGGAGGCAAAACCAGTAGCCTCTGAGTCCAGCACGTCTCTTTCTGAAGCCACCAAGACACACAAGAAGACAAGTGTTTGGGGGGGGGCAGGGCTGCCCACTTCCCCCGGGGTGGCGGGCGTGCGGGCGGGGTGCCCGAGGCCGCCCTCCCGACGGTCCTGCCGTGCCCCCTGCCCCGTGCAACCAGGTGGCCGACACCCTCACGGGGCCGGTTCAAGAGCCGGTCTCCAGCACGCGTGGGGTGGGGTGGTCTCTGGAAGTCTTTGGAATGTCCGTGTGCAGCCGGGCAGGGCCTGCGCCCGACCCCCTCCCACCAGGGCACCGGGTGAGGCTGCCACGCCCGAGGTGACGCTCACGCCCCGGTCCCTGTGCACTGTCCAACAGCGTCCCCAGAGAAGGCAGGTCCGGGCCCCGGCCTCCCTCACAGGAGCGGCCAGCTTCCTCAGGAGGCCCCAGACGGGGGTGGCCCTCGGACAGCGCCCACGGGGCCGGGAGCCTCCGGGGGCCCCGCCTGTCCTGACAGACGGTCAGCGTGTGCCGGGGGAAGTCAGATGCATAAGTAACAGTACGTACACCGGAGTCCATGCATATCTTTTTGTTTCCAGGAAAAAAAGTCCTTTCCCTGTTTTCAAAATTTTTTTTTGTTTTTTTTTTTGTAAGGTTTTTCTTTTTCTTCAAACTTCACAGCTGGCTTGTGGCGAGCCTTCGGGAAGGGGCGGCGTGTCTCAGCGCAGCGGGCGGGGAGCAGAGGCCGGGCCGCCCGCCTCGCCGCGGGGCAGGACACCGGGGGCGTGTAAACACGGGGGCGGAGCTGGGCAGCACCATGGGCCCTGAGGGTCTCAGGGTCGGGGGTCACCAACCAGAAGGCGGGAGGGGGCGGGCGGGGGGGGGGAAGCGGCCCGAGAACGAGCCGACGAGCGCGGGAGGAGAGGCGGCCGGAGGAGAGCAGACGGCGGGTGGGGGGGCGCGGGCTCTCCCGAGCAGCGGCTGCCGGGGCGGCGTCCTCACACCGTGGACACCAGCGTGCCGCTGCCGCTGCGGACAAAGCAAGGACAGCTGCCGGCCACACGCCTGCCCCACGGCGGCGGCCGCCTTCTCGGCAGCTTGGGGTCGGCCGGCCACCGGGTGACCTGGCCCTGGGGGTGGGTGGCAGCGGAGGCCCCGGAGCCCGGAGGGCGGAGCCCCTGCTGTCTGCGCCGAGCGGGCAAGGCAGACCTGGACGCCGGGGAGCGGAGCCACGGAAGAGCCGGGTGGAGGGGCCGCCGGGCCCCCTGGGGGTGTGGGGTGGCGGCAGGGACCGGGCTCCGGCATGAGCACCCGCTCCCCCCACCCGCGGGGAGCAGAGAAGCGGCGCTCCGGGGGGGGGCCCCCCGTCACAGCCCGTGGGACCCGGCCCAAGCCCGGGGAAAGGGCACCCTGCCCCTCAGGGGCCTGCGGGCTGTCAGGGCGGGGGCAGGACGCGAGCACCCCTGCCCGGCTCACCCTGACCCGCAGGGAACACTGTTGGGTCTCCCACCAGGCCCCCCGCCCAGGGGGTGCGCCAGCCCAGCCTTCGGGGGACCGCTCCCCACGGCTCCCACGCGCAGCCCCGAGAGCCCCTTACCTGCTCACAGCCCGGGCCCCGTAGTCGTCCAGGCCCTGGGGGGAAAGGCAGGCAGGTCAGGCCGGAGGCCCTGGGGAGCCAGGCGGGGTCTCCAGGGTAGGGCCCCCGCACACACACCCGACCCCCCAGCAGAGGGACGCCTGTCTCCAGGAGTCCCCCGGGGACTGTGCCCCCTCACACCCACGACCCAGGCGGGGCAGACCACCTACTGCCCCCCCACCCCCACCCCACGCGTCTCCCACGGCAGGCGGGCCGGGGCCCGTGAGCGCCACAGTGGGGAGCCGCCTGCAGGTCACTGAGGGGGGGTGTTGGTGCCTGAGGGGCCGCCCCAAGGACCCAGGACCCCCGACCAGCGGTATGCGGGCTGGAACGCAGGGCTGACAGAGGCTGGAGCGGGGAGAGCGGTCGCAGACCACCTCCAGCGAGCCCGGGCCGGCCCAGGGCCGCCGAGGGGCATTGGAGACACCCCCCCACCCACCCCCCAGCTCTCGGCACCCACACCCACCCCAGAGGCTGGGAAGGTCCCGCAGCTCCTGGGCGGGGGGAGGGTCTCCCGGACACCAACTCCGCTGTGACGCTGCGATGCCCAGGCTCACGTCCAGCCTTCGAGGCCCAGACACCCCCGCCAGGCCCCTCTCGCGCTCACCTGGGAGAAGGCGGGCACGGCCACGCTGTAGGGCCGCTGCTTGAAGCCGCCGGCCGTCTGCGCGGGGAAGCCCCGGGAGGCCGTGCCGTAGTCGGGGGGCGGGAGGGCCAGGTCCTCCTTGTCCAGCAGGTTGCCCGTGCTGCTGCTCTTCCCCTGCTGCAGGCTGCGGGCGGGGGCAGAGGGGGCGGGGCGGATGCTGGGGAGGCTGGTGTGTGTCCCTAGGGAGGGTCGGCCCCCCCCCACTCCGCAGCTCCCAGGGCAGGTCCCCCGCTCTCCTGAGGACCCCTGCAGGATCTGGGGTCCCCCTCCCATGCCCTGCCGGCAGCAGATGGCAGCAGGGCGTGCCCTGGGCCCAGCGCGGGGAGGAGCCAGCCCCGTCCGACCATCAGGCGCGTGGCTCTCAGGCCGCGGGAAGCCCGGCCGAGCTCTACGTCCATGGGGCCTGGGGGGCCTCCCTGAGTGGCGCCACCCACAGCACCCCTTCCTCCCGCAGCCCCCCTCCGGAGTGGAGGGCCGCCCGCTCACCCAGGGCGGCCACCCTCACCTCATATGCAGCCTGTCGCCGCCGTCGCCGTCCAGCACCCGGGTGTAGGAGAAGGGGAACCAGCCTCGCCTGGAATGGAGGGCTCGGTGAGAGCAGGCAGGGCGCCCCCGGCCCCCCAGTCCCCCGGCCGGGACACACGCCAGTGCTGCAGGAACACCAGGACACCCCGCCTGCTCCCTGGGCATGCCCGGCTCTGCCGGGCTGCAGGAAGGCGCCGGGACCCGAGGGGCAACCCCACAGGAGGGTCCGGGAGGGAGGCGTCCCTGCTGGGAGCCCCTCCCAGGGCGGCGGCCGCCTGGAGGCAGGAGCAGAGGCCAGCCCCGCCCCTCTGGGACGTGGGCAGGGGCAGGGCTGAGGGTGCCCCAGCGGGGACTCCCTCTCACCGACAGCTGCGCCCGGACCACAGTGGTGGTGGTGGGGGGCGGGGCAGGGTGGAGCCCCTGACTGGCAGTCCCCGGCCGTGCCCATCACGAGACGCCACGGAGGCGTGAGCTCTCGGACCCCAGCTCTGCCCAGGAGAGACGTGGGGGAGGCAGCGAGGCTTCCGGAGGAGGAGCTGACCTCCGCCGGCGGGGGGCCGCAACTGCCAGCAAGGAAGGTGCCAGGGACGCCAAGGGCCCCGGGCAAGGGGGCGGGTGGGACGTGTGGGCGGAGCCTGCGCCGCCCAGGTTCCATGCCGTGAGGTGGCGACCCCGGCGGTCCCCCCAGGGCCCAGCGCCACCAGCACCCAAGGGCCGGGGCAGAGCCGCCCTGGCGTCCGGGGCGCACTCACATCTTCGTCTTCTCGCTCTCGCCGTAGTGCCAGCCGTCCCGGGCCTCGGGCACCAGCAGGGTGATAAGGTCGCCCTCCTTGAAGCTCAGCAGGGTGCTGTTGTCGCCGGCGGCGTGCGAGAAGATGGCCTTGACCCGCATGCGGCCGTTGCGCTCCAGGCCGGCCGCCATGGAGCTGGAGCGCGGCAGCGTCTTGTTCTCGGCTGCGGGCCACAGGGCGGCGTGAGGGGCGCCCTGCCCCAGGTGGGGGCGAGGGGGGCCCCCCGTCCCATCACCCCGGGGCGGCCTGGAGATGGAGCCTCCACCTGGTGGACACCCGCCAGGCCCCAGAGCCGAGGGGACTCAGACCCTGGAGGGACCCGGGTGCTGGGGCTGTGGAGCAGCTGGGACCCGCCCCCGCCCTGTGGGCGGGGCCCGCGCCTTCCCACTGGTGGGTCGGGAAGCCCTCCGGCGAGGCCCCCTGGGGGTGGGCGTGTCCCAGGCGAAGGGGCCCCGGGGGGGCGGGAAGGCTGTCCCTCATCTACTGACGCCGGCCCAGCACCACCCGCTACTCTGGGCAGCGCCCCGCCACCCACCTGGCCCAACCGGGTTGGGGGGGAGCCCTGAGGGAGGCCGAGGGTCCAGGACGACGTCTGGAAGGGGCCCCCAGGGCGGTGGCCGCGCATTTGCACGTGTGTGAACCTCGGGGTCGCCCCCCCGCCACCGCCGGTGTGCCCTCGCTCGTGGGCGCGAGGCTGGGCCCGGGGCCCCCGCACGGGCCTTACTGGTGGCGTAGCTGTTCTTCGGGGCCACGCTCTTGCGCACGGGCAGCGTGTTGGAGTAGGAGTCGCTCATCTTGGTCTGCGGCGGCGGCGTGGACTTGGGCTGGGCCCCCTTGCGGTCAGTCCAGGGGCTGTAGTCCTCGCTGTCGGGGCCCGAGACGCCGTTCATGATGGGCGCGCCCTCCTGGGCGGACAGCCGCTGTGGGGAGAGGCGGCGAGGGCGCGGGGTCGCAGAGGGGCCGGGCCGGCGTGGAGGGCCACTGGGCCCGGCGGGATGCCGACCGCCGCGGGGGGCCGACCCCCACCCCCACCCCCACCGGCTCTCCCAGGGCCACGCACGCACTCACCCCCACGAACGGGGCCAGCTCAGGGGGCACCGGCAGGGGCTTGGCCCCGGGGATGGGGTCGGAGATGAGCAGGCTGGACTTGGAGGCCGACAGGGCGCCGGGGAGGACGGCGCCGTCGCTGTTCGCCAGCTGCTGCATCAGCTGCACGGCGCGCTCCGGCACCTTGTTGGGGTCGGCGCAGGCCTGCTGCCACAGCGGCAGCTTCTGCGCCAGCAGCTCCTTGCCCTGCAGCAGAGGGGGCGGGGAGGGCGGGGTCAGGGCCGGCTGCGGGCTCCGGTGCCTCCCGAACCCCCCATGCAGGGGCCCAACCACGGTGTCCGGGTGCAGCCCCAACCCCACTGGGTGCCACAAGGCTCCTCGTGCGGCCGTGCCCCAGGGCAGTGGGGGGACCGGCTGCTGGGCACAGGCTGCGGGCCTGCCCTGGAGTCCCAGCCCACGGCCTGCACTCTCTAAACCTACCGGAGGCCAGGTCCACATGCCTGGGAAGTCAGGCGTCACCTCAGAGACAGTGGCACCCCGAGGACAGTGGCTTTCCCGGCCTGCAAACTCTCTCCCTGACCCGCACCACAACCCGGCTGCCACCAGAGGGCGCAGGTGCCCGCTGCAGCCTCCCCCACTGCGGACCCGGAGGCTGGCCGAGGGCGAGCCCAGGGCAGGTGGAGGCCGCACCCACCTCACGTCCCAGCTGCCAGCGGGCCCTCCCGGCTCCCACAGGGCCCCGGGCCCGGCTCTGCCCTTGCCGTACACCTGTGGCGGCTGCACTGGGGCAGGCCCGGGCAGGCAGGCAGGCAGGGGCCTCTCCCAGGAGAAAGGCAAGTGTCTCCCTGGTGGCGCGGCCACAGGGACGAGCACGTGCGTGAGAGAGTGCACACGTGTGTGCCCACTGGCCGTGGAACCCCGTCAGCCCCAAGTACTCGGGATGTTCTAGCCCCTGCCTGTGGGTGGGGGGCACAGGGCCCACCCAGGCTGCCCGCCCGCCCGTCCAGGGGCCCATGCCCGGGGCAGTCAGCCGGCCTCACCAAGGGGTCCCCAGCAGCGTGCCCCCGAGGAGCCGGCCCTCAGCGGGGACCCCTCACAGGCCCTGACCTGGTCGTCCTCCTCCTTCTAGAACCCTCTGCCCGAGGAACTGGAAACGCCCGGGGACCAGCCCTCCCTCGTGGGGACCCCCAGGCCCCATGCGCGCGGCCCACCTTGGAGTGGTAGGCGGCGGAGTTCTTGGCCACGGCGCACTGCTTCTCCACCAGGAAGCAGAACCTGCGGCGCTCCTCGGTGAGCGCCGTCTTGTAGCCCTCCGACACGTACCCCTCCAGCTCGCCCTGCTTGCTGCCGATGGCGTCGATGTACTGGGGGGGGGGGCGACAAGACAATGTCTGGTGACGCCCAGTGTCTGGGGTGGCCCCACATGCCTGGGGCTGCCCGCAGCGACCTGTGTAGCCCCTGGGAGCCCCAGACCACAGAGCAACCTCGCGGAGCGGGCCGGCTGAGCCCCACCCCCTCTGCCCACCGCCCCCAGGTCTTGGCGGGGGCCCTCTGCAGCCCCAGCGCCCCAGCTCCGTCCTCAAAGGCTGCCGGGAGCAGCCGCTCCAGCCTGCCTGGTGGACGCACTCGGCCACGAAGGGCGACCACCTCAACCCGGCCCGGCCCCACAGGCCCAGCGACCAGCTGCCAGGGGTGCCGGCCAGAGGCTGGGGCTGCGGGTTCAGGGACAGGAAATGGGAGGGGGCTGAGCTGGTGCCCAGTGGGGGCAGTGTCTGCCCACGGTGGCCAGGATTCTGGGCTTGGAGGGCGGCGACGGCTGCGCACCAGTGCGGCTGCCCCGGTGCCCTGAAGTTCCGGACGGCGCCCCTCACGACGAGTGAGTCTCCAGCACTCGGCGTCACCGGGAAACCGCGTGAGCAGACCCTGCCCGCGGGACGCCCCTGGACAGAGGGCCCCCTGGTGGACGGGGACGGGGAGCACAGGGAAAGGGGCACTCCGGGCGAGGGGACCGTGCAGAGGCCCGCGAACCGCTGCCTTCCCACAGGTGAGCCTGCTGGCCCCACCCACCAGGGGCGGAGCCCGGGCCCTGTGACTGGCGGGGTGCGAGCTGTGCGGCATGTCCCACAGACCCCAACCCCCTGCCCCCCCCCCCCCCGACCAGGAAGGCCCCACCAGCACGCGGAGCTGGCGAGGGACTCACTCGCGCCCGGCGGCCCGGTGCCGGGGCCGGCCGAGTGCTCTGCCTCCCAGGCGGGAGCTGCACAGGCCTGTGGGTGGCCGACGTGCGCTGCCAGGAGCGGCCCAGGCGCACGCACTCCGTGCGGCCTGCAGGGCCCGGTGGCACCGTGGCTTCTGCGGCGTCTGCCCTGGGCAGAGCAGAGCAGCCCCATCCCCTGGCAGGCGCCAGCCCAGACCGAGGGGGCGGCCTCCCCCGCGAGTTCTGACTCAGCGTGGGTGGGCGGTGCCAAGCCCGGGTGGGTGGGCGGCCACAGGGGGGAGCAGAGCAGGCTGGAGAGGCGAGCCACACCCCCCACCCCAGGAAGGGCCTGCTCAGCCCAGTCTCCTGATCCTGGGACCCCGTTCCCTGTGCCCCGCAGACCACCCCCCTTCCCACAGCGAATTCCCTGAGGGCGGCTTAAATGAGCCTCAAAATAGCTACCCCCCAACCCCCAACGGAGACTACAGCCTCGAGCAGTAAAGCGGTGGCAGCCACCAATGTGCCCGAGGGGGCCCAGGGTGGCACCTGGGGGTAGCCGGGTTGCCCCCAAAAAGGGTCTGAACCCAGGCAAGAGGCCTAGCGGCGAGTGGGTGGGTGGGTGGGGGGTCTCTCCTCTGCCCCAACCCCCCACCCCTGCACGTGCGCCCACCAGTGCTTCCCCCCACGGCGCCCACAGACCCCGGCATTCTGGGGGCCGCACACGGCACAGCGGCCCGAGGCCAGGGCTGTGAGTGGACAGAGGGGCCTGGGAGGGGCAGAGCTCGCTCAGGGCGGGAGGGGCACACGCGGGGACAGCGGGGGACAGACACACATGCCCCTCCCCAGGAGGTCCTGGCTGTCCCTGTCCCAGGGGACTGTCAGAACAGCGGGGACAAGGGCAGCTCCTTGGTCCCTGTCCCCACACGCAGCGGGGGGCTCGGCCTTGTGCAAAGCCCTGCAAGGTCCCAGGAGACGGGGTCCCCCACCCTGTCCTCGCGTCACCGCTGCCCACCCTCCCGGGGGCCGCTCCAGCGTCCCCACCGGCTGCAGGTGTGGGAGGGCGTGTGGGCTCAGGTAAGCTGGGCCCCTGGAGTCCCTGAGCCCAGGCGTGGGGAGCCAGCGGCCTCACGCGGGACGGTCCGCGGGGCCCCCCAGAGCAATGGCCAGCAGCCCTGCACACGGGCACTGTGGCGAGGGGAAGGCCGACCTCTGAACGGCGACCCCAGGACAGTGACGCTGTGAACCGGGACGAGGCCCCGGGGGGCACTGCTCCCTCCCGCACCCGGGCCCTCGGGCGCACGCGCGACCCAGGCCGGTTTCTGGGTTTCCAGGCTGCGGTCACGTCCCCTGCACCGGCGCAGGCGCTGGCCTCATTAGCAGGGTCTGGCGGCCGCCTCCGCGGGGGAGGGTGTGGTGCTTATTTTTAAGGTTTCCATTTATTCAACGGCAGGTCTCCGGCGGGAGCCGGGAGCTGTGGAGGGGTCTCCCCGGGGACCCGGCCTCCCGGGAGCAGGCAGGAGAGCCGCCAGCTCCGGGGGCCTGACAGACGGGGGCCGTCCCGGGGGCACGGGGACCGGAGAGCCAATGCCTCCCACCGGGGGTCCTGGGCTGCCCGGCTGCCCCAGCAACAGCAGCACGGGGCGCAGTGACCGGGGCAGAGCCCCGGCCAGCGAGCACACGCAGCGGCCGCTCCTGTCGAGGAACAGCAGTCGCCCTGACCTCCTTCCCCAGGACGCCAGCTGCTGCTGCTGCTGCCGCAGGGCGACCACACGGCTCTGCCGGGCGGAGCCGGGGAATCTGGGCCGCGGGAGGAGCTGCCCCTCGAGGGGGTGCAGCGGGACCCCCGGGAGCGGAGCGTGCGAGCTCCCTGGGTCGGCGCGGAGGACAGAGGACGGGCCGGCACTGCCCGGGATGACTCTGCACCAGGAGCCGGGAAGAAGGGCCGTGGCCACGCAGCAGGCGCCCCCGCGCCCCGTCCCTCCGCCTCTGCCTGCTCCTCGCGCGCTCGCGGGCGCTATGGCGACGGCAGCGCCGTAGAAACACCCAGCGGAACGCGCTCCAGAGCCGCGGGCTCTCCCACTGAGTCACCCAGGGCGGAGCAGCCCTCTCCCCGGGGAGACAAAGCCGAGCGCCCACAGCCGCCTCTTCTCCCCCCTGAAGCAGGTGACTCAGCGGAGGGGGCGAGGCCTTCTTCCCCACGACCCTCGAGGGCTCGGCTGGCCCGCCGGCCGCCGCGCCTGCCCCACGCTCCGGGTCCCCTCGGCGGGTGGGCAGCAGAGCGCAGGCGCCCTCCCACTGTGACCGCCACGGGTGCCCTGTCACTCTGGGTAGACGAGCCTGTCATCGCCACTCCTACGGGACCACGTGCCACAAGACACCGCACGCACGCTCCTTCTGCTGAACACGCACGTCGTTAAAACCAGCGTCACCTGCTTCTTTCTTTGTCCTCGACGTGCCACCTCAGGTGTGCCCTGCCAGGTGTGCCCTGACAGGTGGCCCCGCCAGGCACGAGCCGGCTCCAACAGAAGCAGCTACGGGCTGAAGCCTGCGCCGGGGTGGCACCCGTTCGGGGAGTGGGGAGCTCGGACGGCCCCAGGGGCTTGGCCCTGAGGTTCAAAGGAGCAGAGTCCTTCCAGGGCCCCCGGGTCCCACAGACGAGAGTCCCCAGAGGGGACCCTGGGTGTCCCAACGCCACCTCTGGACACGGAGGCCCATGCAGGTCCGGGGCCCGACGCGCCCACCGACGGCTGCCAGCACCCAGGGGCCCCGGGGTGCCGAGTGCAGCACCCCAGCCGCCACCGCTCCCAAGCCACACACGGTCACGGGACCAGCCTCTGTGTTATCCTTCCTGACGACCTAAATTACGGTTATTTTGTTTCTGCTGGTTAATTGCACAGCCCCGAAATAGAAGGCGCCGCTCCCCTGTCTCAGACCACAACTGGGATTCCCGCCCCTTCCCGATCGCGGGCCCGGGGAGGGGAGCGCACCTCGGTCAACGCCAGGCCCGCCGGCGCCTGCCTGTGCGGCCACCGCGGCCCCACGACCTTCTAGAGCCCGGGACCCGGGACCGGGACCCATGACCCCAGCCAGCTCGTCCCCCCCCCCCGCCCCGACAGCCCCCCTCGGAGAGCGGCACACAAGCCCTCCTTGCGCTCCGGCACCGAGGCCACCTCTGCCCCCACTCAGGGGAGGGCCGCCCATGCCTGCCTCTGCCCACCGGCCGCTCCAAGGGCTGGGCTGTCCCAACCCCGGACACTCGGGGAGGCCTTGGCTTCTCATGCCCCGTGCGGCGGGTCTGTCCGGGAAGCCCCTGGAAGTTCGGGGGACCCCGAGCAGGGGCCCCGCACCAGCCCCTGGGACTCCAGCCTTCTCTCCCTGGCCACTCGCTGGCCGGCCTCTGCCTTTGGGGCCCCAGCACTGTCCGGGGGCGTGGTGGCTCCTGCCCCAGCCCCCAGGGCCTGCAGGCGGGCAGGCCCGGAAGGACACGGAGGCACCCTCCAGCACACACAGAGGAACCACGGCCACGCCCCCCGACAGACAGGGTCCCCTCCATCGGGGCCACACGGGGCCAGGGGTGGGGCGAACGGGGTGAGCGCTCATGGGGGGAGGCTTTGCCCGAGTGCCCCCAGACTCACAAAAGGAAGGGTGTGCCCCAAGGCACCCCGATCTGCCCCGATGGCAGCTCTCGGGCCGGCCACACGCCCGCCCAGGCCCTTCGGGCAGAAGACCCCTTGGAAATGGGCCAGCTGCGGTCAGCATGGCTGAAAGCGGCAAGCGCCCTGCTGGCTGGCTGCAGCCCATGCACGCCCGCACGCCCTCGGAGGGGTCACAGGCCAAAGGGACAGGCCCGCCAGATAAGACTTGTGACCACGCACCCCTGGACACGTCCCCCACGGGCCGTGCCCTCCGTGGCCTCCCCGACGGATGGGCCGTCCCCCGGCAATGACCGGGGGCCTGGGGCGAGCCCTTGGCTGGGAGGGCGGCCGGGGAGCGCGCCTACTTCTGCAGAGAACCCCGCGCCCCAGTTAGTGCGCCACGTGCCTCGGCGCCCGCTCCCCGGCCGGAATTAGCACCGGCTCTGCCGCGGAAGGTCCCAAGACGCAGCCTCAATTACCAGCAGCCCCTGCGAGGGGCCGCTCTGACCTAGTCCCACTCTCGGGCGCCCGCCGTGGACGGATGGACGGACGGACGGTGTCCCACATGGTCTCCCTCTCTCCGGGGCAGCGTCTGACCGATGACAGCACCTCCCACCCCCTCGCCCCCTCACGGACGGCGGCTGCGGCTCCGGGGAGGTCCTGTCCCTGGGGAGGCCTGAGCTGCTGCCTGGCCACCGGCCCAGGGGGACGAGCCTGGGGTGGCACCCAGCGGTGCAGCGGCCTGGAGGGCTGAGTGGGCAGGGCCCGTGCTGGACAGGCGGGCTGTGGACTCGGAGGCGAGGCAGCCTCACCGCCCTCCCGGGGCCCTGCACACTCACAAGGCTCAAGCGTGGGCTGGGGGACGGCAGGTGGCCCGGCTCCAGACTGCACAACGTGGTCCTGGCAATCACGCTCAAGAGGGACCGCCCACCTCTCCCGAGCTCTGAGCAAGCCGACGCCTGCAGCCACGCGGTGCCCACGCCTCAGCAACAGACGCGTCAAGGGAGATGTCTCCCCCACCAAGGAGAGCCGTGTGGAGACTCCGGTGGGGCCACTGTGTCGGCCGTGGGGTCCAGGCCCCGCCTCCACTGGCCTGCGCTGCAGAGGAGGGGCCTGCAGAGTGGGAGAGCCCCCAGGCCACTCCCACCCGTGGGACACCACCCACCTTCCCTCCGCTCAGGGACGCAGCCCGGGGAGCCCCGGCCGGCAGAATCCCGGCCCCCACCGGGTGACAGTGCACAGGCATGCCTGCACCTGCTCGCCCGTCTCTCCTCCAGGGTCGGGGACAACTGCCTCCAAAATCCCGGGGGACCCACCACTGGGCTCAGGGGAGGCGATGCGAAGAGCTTGGAGCAAGTGTGTCTGCTGCTCACAGCACCTCGCGGCCCCAGGAGCCCCTGGAGCAGCCCCAGGTGCTGGGGCACCAGCTGCTGGGGTCGGAAACAGCCACCCTCTCGGGGGGCGGGGGGCCTCCCGACGGCTCGGAGCTCGGGCTCCCGGGCACCACGCCCTCGGCACACGCGGGAGACTCTGCCACGGGGAGCGGGGGACACCAGTGCCGGGGCGTTGCCCCTGCTCCCCCAGCACCGAGGGGCCACGTGCAGGTACGGCGGCCAGCCCACCCCGGAAGGAACTCGGTCATCTGGGAGAAGTGGCCCCAGCAAACCCTGAGGCTAAAGGCTCGGGGCAGCCAACGGCGGAGGGAGTGGAGGGCAGGAGCGGCTGATGCCCAGACTGGGCTGGGTTGGGGGGACAAAGGACAAGGGAGAAGGGAGAAGTCTACCACCTTACACACGGGGAAACCAAGGCTGGGCGGGTCCTGAGCTCACCACGACCACGGGACCGGAAGGGCAGGGCTAGGATCCAGACCCAGCTGCTGGGACCTGGGGGCCGCGCCCACATGTGCACGGCTGCACGGGGGTGGGGAGAAGCCGCGAGGGGGGCCGGCAGGAGTGCTGAGGAGACAGGGCAAGGGAGCCTCGACCGAGGGGTGACCCTCGGGCACGGGAAGGAAGGACAGCCGCAGACCTCTCCACGGAGAGCACCCAGAGACCCGTCCAGAGGCCCCAGCTGTGAGAAAGGGCCCCCAGACTCCCCGGAGGGAAGACCAGGGCCCGGGGAGCCCCTGTGTGCCCCCGCCAGCCCCACGCAGCAGAGACGACAAGCCCTACCCCTGGGCCTTGCAGGCCTGCAGTCCAGAGCCGGGCTGGGGCGGGAGGCCAGGGCGCTCCCGGGGGGCGGTTCACAGTGGGCAGAAGGGGCGGGCCGGCCTGACTCAGTGGACACGGGGTCTCGGCCTGCAGGGCTCCGCCTGCGGGGCGGCTGGCCCGCACACCTGCGGGAGGCTCTGCCCAGACTGAGACCCAGACCTCCCGGCGGCAGAGCGGACGGCGGTCACGGCAACGCCAGCCCGTCTGGGGGAAGGGCCCAGCTCGGGACGGAGCCCCCAAGGTCACTGCCGCCTGGAGGACGCTGGAGCACATCGCACTGCGTGGGACACGGCAGACCGGAAGGCCACCTGCGCGACGCCCCGTCCACAGGCGGGCACACGCTGGAACCCTGGAACTGTGCTCCGAGTGGGTGCGGCCTGCACGTCACCGTGCCACCAGCAGCAGCACCACGGGGGGGGGGTCGGGTGCACAGGCAGCGGCACCCAGACACACTGGCCTCACGCCCCCCCCAGCTAGCCCAGGCCCCTCCCTTGGAGGACTAAGCAATGGAGCCGGGGGCGCTATTCCCCTCCCAGGCAGCAGGGGCGCTGTTCCCCGTCGAGACTTTCAGGAAGCACAGTGGCAACCGGCACCAAGGGCGGGACAGAAACTAAAGGATACGTGTGTGTGTGTGTGTGTGTGTGTGTGTGTGTGTGTGAGAGAGAGTTTCTAGGCCGCGCCCGACAACCCCACTCCCAGGGACGCATTCACAGGAACGGCTCAGGGCGGCCACTGTGGCTGCGTCCAGGGCTGCCAGGGGCAAGCCCAGGCGGCGACAGGTCCCGGGGCCGGCGGCGGGGGCAGGGGCACGGGGTGGCACCCTCGAAAGGCAGGGACTGTGTCCACACCGCTGAGAACGACACAGGGGAAGCTGGAGGTTGGATGGGGGGTGGAGTGCCCACCCCACCCACGAGCACAGGACGGTCCTACCCGCTGTGGCCTGGCCCGGCGCCCCCCGGCCCAGGGGGGCGCGGCAGGGGGTCTGCCTGAGGGCACCGCGCTCACGGAGGGCGCAGGTGGGACGGGGCTCAGCCCCGGGGCGAGGCCAGAGGCCCTGGGGGCGGTGGACCCCATTGGCACCCACCCAGCCACGTGCCCAGCCGGCCGCGGGCCGGTGGGCCAGCCTGACAGCCAGCAGGGCGGGGGCCTCGGAGGAGGACAGGGGTGACCCCCAGGTGCCACCACCACGCCCACCCCAGGGTGCGTCCCAGCAGCTGCCGCTCCCGCCGGCTGGGGAACGGGTTCCCACATCTCCCTCACACACCCGTGGGCGTCCTGTCCTCCGCCGCCTCCGCCTCTGCGCTCCGCGTGACCTCGGAGAGCCGGCGCCCGGGCCTGATCGGTGTCACCCGGCGGGGGCTCTGCTGAGCCAGGGGCGCAGGGCCAGCCCACCGGGGGCCCTACTGTCCGTCCCAGACCCCCGCCCCGCCCCGCGCACGAGGCCTGCGGCCCGAGGCTGGGACGAGATGCCAGTGACAGGTCGCCGGGGCCGGCCCCTCCCCCGCCCTCCAGCCCCATCTGCCTCGCTCCGCGGGGCCGCGGGCCCAGAGGCCCCGGCCAGGTGGGCGAGCTCACGCTCATCGGAGGAACAAACAGTCCGGGGTCGCCCTCCGGGGCTGGAAGGCAGGAGGCAGGGTGGGCAGAGTCCGCTCGGGCCTCCGTTCTTTCGGGGGAGAGCCTTCCGGCGCCCCGGGGCCACGCACACGGGGACCAAGACACGGCACTGACCCCCGAAACCTGTCAGGAGAGGGCCCCGGCTCTGCCCGATGCCCTCGAGGGGGCGACCTGGGCCCTGTGCGGAGGGAGAGGGCGAGCGGCCCCCGGGGACCCGCGCCCCGCGCCCCCCCCCCCAGGCCGGGGGTGGCCCTACCTGCAGCTCCTTGTCCGAGTACTTCTGCGGGTTCTTGCTGCCCTGGCTCTTCTTGCGCAGCTTCTTCAGCTCCGCCTGGCACTTGTCCAGCGCGTCCCCCCGGCTCCGCTGCTCCGTCTGGTACTTCTTCAGGGCCGCCTGGCGCACACACGCGGGACGCGGCCGCCGTGAGCCCCCACGCGCCGCCCCCCACCCCCCGGCCCCCATTCCCGTCCCCGATGAGAGGGAGTGCGGGTGGGCCCCGGCACGGTGCCATCTTTACTAAAAGCTGCCGAGCTGGGCAGGTGGGGTTCACCCCCAAGACAGGGCCCCCCGAGGAAGTGGGGGTGGGGGGGAGGCCTCTGACCGGCAGCGGTGGGGGCGGGGCTACTTACACTCAAGTACCTGGCGTCCAGCTCCACCTTCTGCTCCAGCTGCGTGAGCAGCTCGTTGTGGAAGGACTTCAGCTGCGAGGGCAGGAGACACAGGCTGGAGTCAGTGTCCGGGTGCTGGCCGGGGCACCCAGCGGGGGAGGGGGAGGCAGGGTCCCGCCTGGGCACAGGCGGCCCCCCCCCGGGGGAGAGGGGCCCGTCTGATGCAGAGCTGGTGACCCTGCGGCGTTGGACAGCTGGGCCCCACAGAGCCAGGAGGTGCCGGGAGGGGTGGTAGGCCACCCCGGCCCCCGGTGCCCACCCGCCCTGCTGTCCCAGGGGCCACCCCGGGGGCGGGGCCTCACCATCTCTTCCAGCTGGTTCTGAATCTGCCTGTGGACCTCCGCCATCTGGAAGAGGACGTCTCCTGGACGGCGGACGCAGGGAAGAAAGACAGGGACGTCAGTACCCCCATCGGCGTCCCTGTCACCCGCACCGCAGCGAGGAGCGGGGCGCGGGCCCGAGGGGACACGGGCTGTGGGCGGGCGGTGACAGTGTGCCTGGGGCCCGTGGGGGGACACACCACGGCAGGGGTCCCCTCGGCACAGGGGTAGGAGGGCCGGAGCCACGGGAAGGGGTCGGCAGGGTCAGCACTGAGCAAGGGCTGTGTGGCCCCGGGAGACCACCCCCACCCGGGTGTCGAGGCGCACGCACACGAAGGTGCCCCCCGCCTGCCCCGAGCACTGGACGCCGTCAACCGCAGCCGCTGGATTGGCAGAGGGTTGCTGAGACCGTGTTCCGTGGTGGCCACTGATTGTGCCGTAGACACGAACAGAGTACAAGGCCACCCCTCCTCAAGGGCGGTCACTGTCCAGCAAATCCTGTCCTCGAGCCACCACAGGGGACCGTCACCCCACCGCAGCGATGAGGCTGTGCCCCCAGGCCAGGCTGCAGAGCCCCCAACGGGACCGCCAGGGCTCCGGGGAACGTCCTGGAGCAGGCGGGCGGGGCCCCTGACACAGCGGGAGAGCGAGCAAACCCTGGGGCCAGGTCGGGGTGGGGCCAGCGGGGAGGGCCATCGGCAGCAGGACAGGCCACGAGGGGCACACGCAGGATAAACGGCGTCGAAAACCCAGAGGTGTGAGAGAACGGGTCGTGCCCTCTCCCGTGCCCGCCCCGGCCCCTGCCCTGCCGGTCAGGCAGCCAGGTAGGGAGGGGGGGAGGGGGGAGGTCCCGCCCGGCCCCTCCCCAGCCGTGAGCCTCCCAACCACCCCCGGTGCCTTGGGAACCTCAGCCATGGCCTCGCGCCTGCAGGTTCAGGGAGAATCTCAGTCCATGCGGCAACGCCCCCCGCCAGAGGGCAGACGGGGCTGGGGCAGCCAGCGCGCACACACATATGTGCACACACAAGCACACGTGTAGGCACAAATGAATACACACGCGCACGCAGAAAGAGGTGCACTCGTGTGCACAGGTAACACAGGACGTGCAGGAAACGGCTGCGCACGGGCCGTGTCCCGTGCGGCTGGCGTGGGGACGGTCACCCCCACCTCTGCAGCCCACGACGGTGCCGTGCCGCCTCGGGGGCCTGGCTGGAGCCCCTGTCCCCGGGCGGGCAGCCCAGCCCTGGGCAGCAGAAGGGACGGGTCCCACCTTCTTGAGGGGACGCAGCCCCCCACAAGGATGGAGCTCGGATGCTGCAGGGGCCCAGGCCTGTGTGAGCCCCTCGAGAACGTTCTGTGTGGGGGACCACCCCCCACTCCAGATCGTTCCAAAGAGAAACCCATCCCCACTAGCACCCCCAGTCCCCCCAGGCCCTGCGGCCACTGACCACTCGCTGTCACGGGTCCCGTCTGCACACTCGGGCCAGCGGGACCCCTCGCTGAGGGGGCTGTGGGCCCGTCCCCGCCGGGCAGCCGCTGAGGTCCACCCCCCCGGCCAGCCCCGGTGCAGCGACTGGACAGTGCATGCAGCTGCCGCGGCCCCCGGCTCTGCAGGAGCGCGTCCCCCTCGGTGCACCGGCCTCCGCGCGGCCTGCACCCCGTCGGGCTCCCTAACACGCATGTTCAGTCTTTCCCCCCTGCTTGTGGGGACCGCCCGCTGGCCGGCAGACCCCGAGGGGCCGCCGAGCCAACCGGGGTCCCCCAACCAGTGGCTGACTGCAGCAGGAGAGGACGCCGGGGCCTCAGATTCAGAGCTGCCAGAGGCTCTCGCGGGTCCCCCAGATCCAGCCGGAGCCGGCGGGGCTCGGTGGCCCCTCCCGAGCCCTCCCTGCCGCCCCCTGCTCCAGGCCGGCCGCACCCCCGGGCAGGTGAGCGGGGCGCAGCCCTCAGAACTGTGCCTGTGAAGAGCCCGGTCGGCAGCCGGCCACGCCCGGCCCGGCCCGCGGTCGGTGGCCACCAGCTACTTCCCGCACCCCCCCTGGGAGAAGCAGGCAAGATTTTCTCCCAACTACGGAAAATGCAAAACATGCAAAAAATGGCAGAGGGCGTTGACGGGGCTGGGGGGGGAACCCGGAGAAAGCGTGGCTGTGTTGCTATGGCGATAACCACGGACAGTGAGCCTCACCCACGTGCTGCTGAGGCCGAACGGGCCTTGTGCTTGGGTGACGTGGAGGCTGCCTCAGGCCCCCCGGGGAGCGGCATCGACGCAGCCCCCTCCGCGTGGGGCCGAGTGCACGTCACAGCGGCACGGCAGAGGCCCGGGGCCCCCGGCCAGGACCTCCCCATCCGCCGGCCCGCGTGTCAGGGCCTCCACACGGGGACGGGCCCCGGGCCGCTGGCGGGCCGCGGGAGCGAGAGGCGGCCCGGAGCCCCACGGGGCGCGTCTGCCAGGCCGGCCTGGGAAAGCCGGGGTGCCTCTCGGTCACCACGTGTGGTCGGCAGCCAAGCGCCCGGGGGGGTGCAGGGCCCCACCCTCACCCGGTGACTCAGGGGCCGAACCGGCCGGTTTCAGGCTCCGGGAGCCGCTCCCGCCAGCCAGCGTCCCCGCCCAAGGCGGAGCGGCTCGGGGCTCCCGCTGCTCCCGCGGGTGCGGGGCGCCCGGCGGCCCTGCGAGCGAGCACACACACGCCCGGTCGCAGACCCGGGGCCCCTTCCAAGGCAGCAGACGCAGCGGAGGCCTCGGGACTCTGCCGGGGCGAGGCTCTCGCCGAGACTTCGGGCAGGACAGACCGTTCTGCCTTCCGGGGAAGCCTGGAAGATTCTGGAAGGCTGTGTAACCCTAGCGTCCCTGCAAAGCGAGGGAGGCCCAAAGGGCGGGCACTTCGACCTTCCTCCAGTGGCGTGATTCCAGCGCAGAGCGCCCAGTCACCCGCCCACCCGCCCACGTGCACACTGGGGCCCAGGGGCCTCCAGGGACTCGTGTGCCGTCCCGCTCCAGCCTGGGGCCGCTCTGCCCGCAGCCGGTCACTGGGGTCACTGGGGTCACTGGGGCGGAGCTCAGGCCCGGCTGCAGGCGGGATGGGCCCAGGTGTGCGATGCCCCGGGTGCCATGGGTCCCCCCTTCCCCGTGCAGAGAACCGGAGTGGCATCGGTGCCTGGCACCCCAAGAGCAGGACACCCCCGGAGGGAACTCTGGGGAAAAACCAGCCAGCACGGCACAGACTGCGCCTGGGCCGGGACCGTTCTCATCCAGCCGGGACACAGAAGCAACAGGTGCTGTCAGGACAGCCTGGGACAGCGACGGGCAGAGGAGACAGGCGTGCGCCCCTCGGAGTGTGGCCGGACGGGGGGCAGACGCCGACCCTGGGACAGCCGCCCAAGGGCAGCTTCGGCCGGGCCTGGACACACGGCCCTCCTCTGCGGCGAAGAGGGCGGGACCCCACGCTGGCCTCCGCAGCCCCAGTGGGAACATTCCGGGACACCCCGTGCTGCGCTCCCGTCGGGCTGGCAGCTTTCCAGGCTGCCCGTGGTCAGGAGCACGGGAAAGGCGGGGACACCTGCCTGCCCCCCTCCTCCCTCCGGCCTCAGGCCAAGCCCCTGCCTGCCTGCGCAGCCCAGGGACCAAGCACCCGGACCTGATGGCCGGCGCTGACGCAGACCCGGTGCCCAGCCCTGCTCCTCGGCCTGGGGGCAGGCACGCGTCCACACCCAGCAGGGGCAGCCCGGAGCCTGGGCCCCGCACGACGGGGCCGGGAAAGCCACCGGCGCCCAGGTCAGAGGCAGCCCGCTCCGTCGTCAGCCCACAGGGCTGGGGGCGGCTCCAGGCAGAGGGGCCTCAGCGCAGACCCCAGGGAGCAGGGCCGAGGCTGGCAGGGGGTCAGCAGCACGACGGAAGGTTCTGGGCCCCGGAGCTCGGGCGGTCCCGCCCTCCTGGCTAAGCGGCCCGCCTGTCTCACTGAACCGAGAGGCTGCCGCGGCGGAGCCCGCGCACCGCGGGGAGAGAGTCGGAGAGGATGACAGCAGACGGCTCCGCAGGCGCCGGAGCTTGGAGGCCGCAGGACCAAAGGCAGAGGCGCCACAGGGGGGGGACCGGGGGCAGCCCGGCCGCCGCTCCCAGCTCCCGGCGGCTGGCTTTGACCTCCGCGGGGAACCGTGCGCCGGAGTCTCTCTACTGCGCGGTGCACGGCCGCCTGTGAGCGGCACACGACCGGCCGGCGTGGGGGAGGGCAGGGCTCGGCAAGACACGGTCAGGGGCCGCATTCACACAGCGGTCAGGCCGGGGTCAGCCTGACTGCCCTCCTGGGGGCTGCCCCACAGTGAGCGAGACAGCAACCCCCTGAACGAGCTCCTGCCCCGAACGGGAAAGGAGAGGCAGGGGCCAGAGAAGTGGGGACAGGAGCGGCCAGGGTCCTCGCCCCGCACCCACCAGGGGCCACGTCCAGGGGCCCCCAGCAGGACGGCGGCAGCGGGTGAGCCCCCCTCTGCTGGGCATCGAGGCCGAGTCTTTGAGACCCACTCGGTCAGAGGGGCCTGGTGCTGCCCCAGCACTGGGTCAGAGCCCGTGGAGCCCCAGGACAGAGCTCTGCCCCGCAGGGGCCCCGGGGTCCCCTCCTCGCGGGCCCTCGTCACCCCGGCAGCAGGCAGGCAGCCGCTCACTCCCGTCCCAGCGACGAGCAGCTCCCAGGACCCTAGGCAGGAAGGGCAGGAGGAAACCACCCTCGGTGAGGGACGAGACACAGGTCTCGCCAGGTGGGACAGCCCGTGGGCAGAGGTCCGGGGCTCAGGCTCCTGCGGGAACCAGTGCAGGCCCACGGGGTAGGCAGGGCCTGCCTGGCCGGGGTGGAAGGGGGGTCCAGGCAGGGACTGGGCGCCCCAAGGCCGGCAGATGACAAACACTGGGGGCCAGACCACCTCCTCACGGTCACGCAGGTACACGCGGTTGGGACACAGAGCAGTGCCGTCCACACACGCGGCGTCTCACACACACACGCACACACACACACTGGTGGGCGCACACGAATCCCCAGGCGGCACGCGCACACCGCAGCAGCCTGGCCGGGGGGCAGGGGGGTCTGCCAGGCCCAGAAACCTGGGGGGGTGGGGCTGGTGCCGCGTTCACGGCTGCGCACACGTGTCGGGCTCGCCTGCCGTCCGCGCGAGACAGGGAGTCAGTCCACAGAGCAGCTGTGAGCACAGCAGCCCCAGGCCCCTGGGCGTCCTGCTGTGACCAGGACTCCTGTCCTTGTCACGTGCACACGGGCCGGCTGACCCTTGACCACCGCGGGGGCTGGGCACACTGACCTCGCACAACCAGAAATCCGCATGTAGCCCCTGGTGCCCAAGCTCAGCTGTCCCCCGGGCGTCTGTGGGGACCCGGCTCCAGCAGCGCCCCCCACCGCGGGCCCCCAGGCTGTGGGTGCTCCGTTCCGCGGGTGGGTGAGGTGCGTGGGCCCGTGCAGGGACCGGCTGCCCGGGGTTTCAGCAGAAGCTGAAGGGTGTGGGGCCCGAGGCCCCAGTCCCTGCATCACCGCCCCTGCAGCGGCAACCGCGGGGAGAGGGATGCTACCCGCACCGGACGCCCGGGAGCAACAGCGGAAGGTCGCTGCCGCTGAGACGGGACCCCGGGGACAGCGGGTGGGGCCGGGCCGGGGGCCCCTAGTTTTCAGACCCAGGGTGCGTGTGGCCTGACAAACATACACCTCCCTCCCGGGCACGAGGCCCAGGCGCACGGGGTGGGGGCGGGGGAGGCACGAGACCGCCGGTGGGGACGGCCCCCTGGGGCGTGGGGAGCGTCTGGGTGCAGAGCGCGGGGATGGTGCGGGCGCCGGCAACTGTGCACTCTCTCACGGGGCACCTGCATCCTGGGGACGCTGCTGGTGGAGGACGGTCCAGCTGCCGTGACGGGAGAGGCGGGGCCCGTGGGTCTCCGCCCGGGCTCCTGGCCCGGAGCTCTCCAGGCCCCGGGATGGAATGTCCCAGTGACGGGCGTGCCCTTTGTTCTGCTGCGGACCCCGGGCCGCTCCTGGACGGGCCGGTCGCCGGAGAGGCCAGGCCAGGATTACACGCCAGAGCTCCCAGCCCCACCCCCACCCTCCAGGGGGAGGGCCGGGTCTGCTCTAAGCAAAGAGGCCGTGCCTGGGGGAGGGGCCCCCACAAATCCCTCAACCTCGGGGCTCGGGGAGCACCAGGGCCCCGCCTCCGTGGGGCGGCGCTCCCAGACCTCACCCTGGCAAACCCAGGGGAGTGCCCCCCCCGCCCCCGTTCTGAGAGCCACGCTGGCAAGTGACCAAACCTGGGGAAGGGGGTGTGGGACCCCCGGTCTGTGGCTGAAAGGATGGAACTGAAGTGGGCGGCTGGGGACCCACTCCTCGGGCCGGGACATGCTGTGGGGAGCTCTTGGAGGTGCAACGTGTCGGCCTGGACCGACAGGAGACACCCGCTGGGGGCCGGACGTCCCGGGAAACCCCTGTGCTGGACACCACAGTGCTCTGAGCAGAGGGCACAGAGCCTTCCTCTGGCCGGGGCCCCTGGCCGCCTCTGCAGACCCCCACAGCGGCCCCCTGTGTGGTGACGGACCCCACGCTCCAAACAAGCCCAGGAGAGCTTTCAAAACCCACGGCTCGCAGGAGCCCCAACACGCCCCGGAGCAGGGAAGGGCGGTCTCCCCGGACGCCCACCCCCCAACCAGGCCTGTGGCAGCGACGCCCTGTGCTCTCCCGACAGAAAGTCCTGGGGTCGCAGAGCCATTGCAGCCACGCCAGCGGACTGGGGGGCTGCCCGCACGGCCCCTGCTGTTCCCTGGGGGAGGCCTGGCCCCTCTGCCTACGACCCAGGGCTCGCGCAGGTGTCTCCCACAGCCCGCACGTGACGAACCCCGGCGAGAACACACCCGTCACAGACGTGAGCCACGTGTGAACACGCCAGGGCTCACAGGCACACCCGACTCTGCCCCTGAGGGTGCGGGGGCCCAGACCGTGTCCGCAGGAGGGGCAGCTGGGAGGCCCTGGACCGCCTGGTGGGGCCTGCACGTGGCCCCCGAGTCAGGAGCCGGACGACCCACAGCCCGGCCGTCACCCAGACCCGCCCCCGCCCCCATGACCGGCCGTCGGCACCCAGGCTGAGCCCGCAGGCCTGGACCCCCGCCCCTCGGCCCCTCCACGCCAGGGGCTGCCCGGGCAGGGCCGGAGCGCAGCGCAGCACCCCCAGGCCCCGGGGAAAGACCTGCTATCCGCAAGAGCAGGGCCTGGCCGAGGCCCCGCCCCCCGCCCCGAGGTCTGCCTCCCGGTCCCTCGCTCTCACGCCCTGAGCTCCCCGACGCCACGAGGGGCTGCATCCAAGTCCCACCTGGCCCACAGCCCCCCGGGGGCGTCGGCCGCGCAGGCGCCAACGCCCGTGCACGCGGACTCGCCCGGCCGCCCACCCGGACCGTGTGTCCCGGGGACGCAGCCGCCCGTGGGAGTCCCCAGGCCCGCGGCGGCGGCCAGGCTCCGAAGGCGCCGTCCCTCCGGAAACCGCCCCCTCGCTGCCCGGGAACGCCCGCCCCGCCCCAAAGCCCCCCCCCCCCCCCGCCCCGCGGCAGGGGCCTCCTCTCACCGAGCTCCTTGGAGCCCTGGCTCTCGCTGGCCAGCTCGCCCATCTTCACGAGGGCGTCGAAGTAGCCTTTGGCAGCGTAGGTCACACCTGGGGGAGGAGAGGGGCGGTCAGTTCCCTGGGGGATGGGGCGGACCCGTGGCCCTGGCGTGGGCAGCCCTCCCCCCACCACGCTCCATCCAGGCTCCACCGGACGCCTCGTCCACCCCCACCCGAGGGCTCCTTTGCTCCCCCCCACCCCCCCGGTGGTCTGGGGACCGGGCCTGGCGCTGGAGGTGCGTCCCACTGCTCAGGCCTGCCGGCGTCACCACGGCCGGGGGGGGGCCGGGGGGGGCAGGGCATGGGCACAGGTGGCCCTGACTTCTCCCAGGACTCGGAAAGCCCAGGGCCACCAAGGGGTCGCGGCGGGGACCTTCCTGCGACCCGGGTGCACGCGCCTGCAGCAGGGGGAGCAGCAGCAGCTGCCAGCCGAGCCTGACGCGCTCTCCACGGAACCGGGGAAGAGGCCGCGGCTGGGTGCTGCTCAAGCTCTGGGGAGGCGGTTCTCACCCAGGGGCGCCCGCGTGTCCCGCTGCCCCTGCCGCGGGGGCGGGGCTCCTCACTGCCACCCGAGAGAGGCCGAACCGGGCACGGGTCAGGCCCGGGGAGCCCGGCGCAGCGGAGGTGACGGTGGCAGCGGGGCCGGCGGGGCTCCCCACACACAGCCCCCCCCCCTCCGCAGAGCCCCGGGGGCCCGCAACGGGCGGGCAGGCCCAGGCTTGACCGGGACGCAGTGCACCTGGAGACGAGATTGCGTCACTCCAGAGCCGCCCCCGGGGCCAAGACGTTCCCTGCAGGTGGCCGCCCGTCCGCACCGCCCCGGCACTTCTGCACCCCACGGTGTGCAGGGCAGGGGGCGGGGGGCGGGACGAGCTGGGGGCTCGGCCTCACGCCGCCCCACTCACCGGCCCCAGACAGGCTCGTGGCAGGAGGCCCGCTCGGCCCCGGCCACCCCACCCAGACACCGGAGAGGAGGCCGGTGCCCAGGGGCAGGACACGGCTCTGCCAAGTGCTGTGTCCTGGGCAACCAAGGCAGCAGGAGAAACAGAAGTTGTCAGCTCCAGCCTCTCCCTGTCACCTCTCCCTAACACACGCCCCCGGACAAGGCCCCTGGGGCGTGGGCCAGGGCCTGTGCTCAGGGCCAAGGGCAAGGGGACCAGAGGTCAGCGCCCCAGGACCTGGCGCTCTGCCTTGCTGGCGCACACCCCTCTGGGGCCACAAGCTGCACTGTGCTCGGCCGGGGCCCTCCCCCAGCCCAGCCCCGCCCCCCGCCCCCCAGCGCCCTCTGTGAGCTGCAACAGCTCACGGCCAGGGACGTGCCTCGGCCCCCCCCCGCCCCCCCGGCCCCAAGCGCTTCGCCGAAGCCGATCCTCTCGCTTTCGGACGGTGCCACAGCCACCCGCCTTCAGGGGCCGACTCCAGGCCCCCCGCTGCGGCCGTCCCGTGACCGTGGGCCCAGAGGCCAGCGTCCGGACCGCACTCCCCCCGCCCACCCCGGGGCCCGCGCCTCACCTGCCAGGGCCTTCTCGTAGTTCTTCCCCATGGCGATGAAGTTCCGCAGGCTGGGGTTGAACTGCTCCATGATGGTCTGGGGAGAGCACAGACAGCGCGTCAGGGGCCGGGGGCCGACCGAGGGGGCCAAACTTGGGGCCCGCGCCTCCCCCACCCCCGGGGCCACAGCCAGGGGTCCTGAGTCTGAGCCTCGCCCTTGAACGCCCTCGGGCCGACCGCCCTTTCCCACCTCTGTCCTGGGGCCGAGGCTGAGGCCAGAGCCCGGAGTGGCGGGCCCTGTGGCCGGCACGGGCGGGGGCACGAGGACCGCAGCGCGAGGAGACACTCTGACGCACGCGGCTGCCGAGGGGCCGGGCTGAGTCAGCCGAGGGAGGCCCTCCCGCCAGCCGCACGCAGGTGCTCCGCGCCCCCCCACCCCCCAACCACAGGCTTCCCCCAACACGTCAATTACCCGGCACGGCTCCGACGGGCGCCCCACAGCCGGCCGCGCAGACGCCAGGCTCCCGGCACGTCTGCCGGTGGGCCGGCGTCTCCCTGCCAGCGTCAGCGCTTCTCCGACTGCAGAAATTAGATTTCCACGCGGAGGCCAAATAAACGTTTTAATTACGAGGCACAGACACAGGCGCACACACAGTGAGCGCCAACACGGGCTGGCTCTCCCGGGGATCTGCGCCGGCTGCCGGCAGCCAGCCCCGCCGGCGGGACGCGGGGGGACTTCCCAAGACGACCGTCGAGGCCGCGTCCCGTCCTCGGGCCCCTGGCCGGGGGGGAGGCCGGGGCGAGACGCTGGGCGGGGAGCCGCCAGGCCCTGGGCAGACCGGGGAGACCCCAGACTCCGTCCTGGCCCCCAGCCTGGCCCCGCTGCTGGCGCTGAGCCGGAGCACCGGCCCGCAGACACAGGGAAGCACGGCAGGACCTGGCTCCGGAGCACCCACTCGCCGGGCCCAGCCTCCACCCGCCCGCTGAGTCCAGCCAGAGGCGTCGGCAGGGGGGGCACCAACACACCCACGGCCATGGCGGGTGAGGACCCACGTCTGAGCTGCCCCCCGACTGTGTACGGCTGGGCCCCAGGCTTCCTGAGGGGGTGCCCACGGGGCCCCACACCACGTTGGGGGGGGGACCTGGGAAGGGAGCTCTCGGCTTAGTCTGCAGGGTGGGGGCGCCTGCCGTGTGATCCCGGGGCTGACGGGGGCAACAGCAGGGACCTGACGTCCCGTCCCCACGGGGCTGCCGGCTCCCCAGGGGCAGGGGAGGGAGCGCCCGGCCGCGGTGTGAGAGGAGGGGCCTGAGCCCGTCCTGGGGGCTGGACACTCGGGCAGGAGGGGGCCGAGGCCCCAGGCCTTGTGGTCATGGGCCAGGTGGTGTGACCGCGTTTCAGGGTTCCTTCCGGCCGTGGGGTCCACGCTGCAGCTGAGCCCCAGGCCCGGGCAGGGGCACCTGCTGGAGTGGCTCAGGGAAGTGAGAGGTGAAGGTGGGGGCTGGGGGCCCTCGCCCTGAGCACCACGGACGACGCTCGGGGCTGGTGGGACATGCGGGAGGGGCAGGATGCCGGCGACTGCTTGGGGACCGGACTCTGCAGTGGGGAACCTGGGGTCTGGACGTGTCGGGGCTAAGGAGCGGGGACCCGGGGCAGGGATGTCACAGAATGGGGGCGGGGGGGCGTCTGTCCAGGAGGACTCTGAGCCCCGGGAGGGGGCCCGGCCCTCGGGGCTCCCGGCCTCCCACTCCGGCAGCCGCACGCACCTGCCCGGGCAGCGAGTCTGGGGGCCGGCCCACAGCTGGCATCCGGGTGTCATGCCCACGTGCACGCGAGTGCGTGTGCAGGCGTGTGCGTGCCCATGTGCGGCCTGCGCACAGGGCTTCCACACCGCCCTCCCCGGGCCCGTTCACAGAAGGGGCCCCACGAACCTCGCCCCCCTATGGACACGCCAGGGCGGCACTGGCGTTTGCTTGGTACCTCACTCCCGCAGCTCGGGCGCTGGGTGCACAGCAAATGTGGGAGCAGGTGGGCGGGCCAGGCACGGCCTCCTCCCGCTGAAAAGGGGGTCACACTGGTGCCAAGCTCTCCCCTGGAGGCTGATGCCCCGGGGTGCCCCTCCTTCCAGGCGGAAGGTCAGTTCTCCCTCCTGGTTCGGAGTGGGGACGCCCCAGCCCTGGCTGGAAGGGTGGGCCCCCGTCACAAAGACGGTCACCCCCCACCCTGGGAGTTCCTGGGCCCCCCTTGCCCTCTCCGAGTCCCAGTCCCTAGCTGTTCCAGAGTTCGTGCTGACACACTCAGACCTGCTGGGCTAGGCCACCCACAGCCTCAGCTGGGCCCGCACCACCCTGGGGGGCCTCGGTGGGTGAGCACCGTCCACCCTGCCCCCCCGCCCCCGCTCCCTGACCCAGGCCCTGCGGCCGCCCGCACGGCAGGGCAGGACCACCACGAGCTCTCCCGCCGGCAGCGGGAGGGCTCCAGGGCTCCGTCACTACAATGATAAACTTTCTCGGAAGCGAAGAAGCAAGTGTATCCTTTCTGTTGTTGCTAACTCACTCAAGGACACCTCTCTGAGAGCGAGAGGAAAAGAGACAAAGAGAAACATCGATGTAACAGAAACAGAAACACGATAGGCTGCCTCCTGTACTCCCCCGCCCGCCAGGGCACTGAACCCGCCACCTTGTGGCACAATGTTCCCACCAGCGGAGCCACTGGCCGCGGCTGTTGCGGCTCTGCCCTGGGGGGACGGCTGGGGGCGGACCCACCCTCCTGGGGGAGCTGTGGGCGGTCAGGCCCCTGCGCAGGGGTAGGGGCGCCTCTGCAGTGCAGACGCCGGCCAGTGGGCAGACGCCCACAGCAGCTGGGCCGGGGGGACGCCCACGCCAGGCCGGCCCCGAGAGGAGCAGCCTCTGCCCGGGCCCCACCGGGCCACAGCCGGCCGGCGTCCTTGGGCTGCGGGTGCCCGGGGCCCCGTCAGACTCGGGGTCCTGGAAAACCACGGGGCGCACAGCGTTCATCGCGCAGCCCAGACGCCCGACCCCGTGCGACCCTGCTGTGGGAGCTCCCACGGCCGGGCCCGCCCTGAGCAGGGCACAGCCTCCCAGCCGTTGCCAGGTCGCTCCACGCTGTCCCAGGCCGGCTCCCGGGTGCCAGGCCGGCGCTGGGCACCGCGGGGGCTCCCACACACCCCACAGAGCACACACGCTGCGGACGGTCCGGCGAAGAGACGTCCCGAGTCCAGGGGTGGTCAGATGGGTCAGTCGCCCTCTCGCTGGATGTCACAAAGAGGGGTGTCCCTGCTGCCCCCGGAGTCCCAGGGGTCCAGACCCGGGACCCAGCCGTGGGCGACGGGCAGGGGCCGCCAGGAGGGGCTGAGCCAGGGCCCAGGTGGCCTCCCTGCCCGGCCCCTGCCCGGGTGGTGGCAGCCATTTTTATTTTCTCGGGCCGAGGCCTGGGCCGGGACCGTGGGGACAAAGGGCAGCGGGCACTCCGGCCAGCCAGGCTGCCCAGGCCTCGCTCCAGTGCCCGGGGCGGCCGGGGTCCGTGCACTCCTGCGCTCCGGCCCGGCGACGGCCCCTCCTGCGACTTCCTGGCCAGGCTGCCCGGACAAAGGGGCGGCTTCTCTGCGGACAGGACACAGGACAGCCGGAAGGGGAGGGCCACGCCTCCTGCCTCCAGCCACCCCCCCGCCCCCGCACTGGGAAAGCAGCGCTTGCCTCCCCTCTGCCCTGAATCCTCGTCCGATCAGTGTGGGTGTCACTGTCCCATTTCACAGAAGGACAAAGCGAGGGAGGTGGAGAGCCTGCCCGCCCGCACCCGTGTGAGCCACAGGCGGGCTGCCCGGGCCCCAGCACCGTCCCGACCAAGACTGGCGGGACCGGTGGCCCCAGGCCCCTCCACCTGCCTGGGCTCCCCAAGGAGCTGTGTCCCGGCCACAGTGGAACAGGGGTGAGGCTGGGCGGGCACCCTGCTCCCCTCCCCAGGAGGGTTGGTACCGGGTCACCCTGCCACTCAAGACCACAGTCTGGCCCTGTCATATCTGCCCGCCCAGGACACCTGACCCCCAGCCGCCAGGGGCCCTGATGCCCAGCTGCCCCCGACCACCGCACCCTCGGCTGTGACTCCGCAGGAGAAGCGGGCGCCAGCCTCCCTCGGTGTCACCGTCCATCTGGACACTGCTGGAGGGCGGCAGCCCCCTCCTCACCACAGGCCCCAGCCGGCTGGTGCTCTGGGTAGAGAGCAGTCTGTCCCCGTCTAAAACCTGGAACGTCTGTCCTGGGGACCATTTTTAAAGAAATAAAGCCAACTGCAGGATGCAGTGAATACTAGGAGGGCTGCCTGGAGGAAGCAGACCTTGAGCTGGATTTCATTTGGGTGAGTCAAGGACCAACCAGGAGGGCTGGCAGTGCTTCAACAGCGGCAGGCCGCCCCCCCGCCCGCCCCCGTTCTCCACGAGATTCCCCCACGGACCACAGGCCCCCTCCCCAGACCACAAGTCCCCTTGGGCCACAAGGACCCCCCACCCTGCACACGCGGGCCCAGTGTGCCAGCCTCCGCAGCAAAGCACCTCGCAGCAGGCCCAGGACCGCCGGGGAGCGGGAGGGCTGGGGTCGAGGGAGGCAGAGTGGGGGCCTGGAGGGAGCGAGGCGCCAGGGCCACTCTGGGGCCAGGGGCCACTCGAGAAACACTGTGATCTCAGCCGCCTCAGCTTCCTAAGAAGTGGCGACGTCACGTCAATAAAGGGACAAATCGTATCTCTGCCACAGCGCCCCGAGCGACTCGAGGGGCCCAGTGGCCCCCCGTCGGGGGGCTGACAGGCGGCACCCTCTCCCATCACCGCGCCAGCCCCCAGTTGGCCCTGGGCTTGCCAGGGGCCCACGCAAAGACGTGAGCCGCCTGTGCTCCCGGGGGCTCCGGTGCCCCCCACCCCCCTTCCGGGGGCAGGAACCACCCCGACCCCTCTCCCAGGGCCTGCAGACCCCCAGGTGGCCAAGGTCTGCCCCTCCTGAGTGAGGTCCTGGGGGCAGGGAAGCCCCCAGCCAGCCCTGGGGAGGGGGGCGGGGCCTGTCCGCCAGGTGCCGCCCCCACGGGGACCGGAC